TAAAACATTTTTCATATTTTTTATTTTAGTGAGTTTTAGTGTACTTGCAACACTATAAGTTAGTATAAGGTACTCTGGGAGCCGAAGATTAGATGAGTTACAAGAGAGTAACAAACACACAAAAAAAGAACGGGAGATAAAGACGATAGATGTTTGATAGGAAAGAAGGAGCAAACCACACCAGAGCACCCACCAACCACCCACCAGAGCGGCCATAGATAGCTCCCCAGGTCAAAGGTCACAAAAACACAACAACCAAACACTTCACCTGGACAGGACAACTGTGAAATTTTTTTTTTTTTTTTTTTTTTTTTTAAAGTAGATTTTTTACACAATTTAGATAAATTAGGAGACTGGCTTTGACCCTGCCAGTCTCGGCCAACACAGACACAACTTCTCCGCAGAAAGACCAAGACATTCAATTAAAATTCTCACAACAAAAGAATCCAACTCAGGTCTTCTAGGTGTGATGGCGAAAAATCCCTACTACACCACAGACACCTGTGGGAAATATTCCAAACAACGAGAACAGTGAAATATTTCTTAGTTTAGTTTTAGTAGAGGTTTTACGGCACTCTCAACTGCTTAAGGTCATATGAGCGCCAGAAAATTAGAGGTGTTACAAGAGAGTAACAAACATAAAAAAGAAGAAGGGGAGATAAGGACGATAGATGTTAGATAGGAAAGAAGAAGCAAACCACACCAGAGCACCCGCCAACCACCCACGAAATATTTCTAAAAACTAGAACATGAAAGACAAATCTCTAACAAGTACGGGTAAAAAGAAAACCAAATTTACTCAAGTTCTACTGGTCTCACTCATCATCAATTTATGTATCAAGTACACACAACACACACCAACAAGTGCACACAACACACACATCAATTACACACACACACATCAAGTACACACACACACATCAAGTACACACACACACAGTAGGTACACACAACACACACCAAGTGCACACACACGAGGTACACACATATTTCATGACATGTTCCTTTATCTATACACACAACACACACGTGGTATACACATATTTCATGACATGTTCCTTTATCTATACACACAACACACACGAGGTATACACATATTTCATGACATGTTCCTATATCTATACACACAACACACACCAGGTACACACACACAGTAGGTACACACATATTTTATGGACATATTCATTTATCTATGCACACATCATAATAATATACACGCATATTTCATGGACATTTCATTTACCTATACACACATCATATACACACATTTCATTATAAATGGACCATGTTCATTCTCATACAAATCTATACACACACCATACACACATACTTTATGGGCATACTCATTTATTAATCCATAGCTGCCAACTTTTCAAACCAACAAACAGACTCATCAAGTCCATGAGGTACGACTCCTGACAACAAAGACTACACCTACACTGTAGCTTTCCAATACAGACTAATGAAAACAGAACTTCTGTACTACGACCGTAAAAAAAACCGTACCAAATATATTTTTGACAAACTGACAAATTGGTTGGCAGCCATATTTGTCTAGACTAACTCTACACCAAATACAAACATACTTTATGGACCATAATCATGTCTGACATACACCACATACACAAAACATTTTACGGACCACAATCAAGTTTGACATACACCACGCACGCAAACACACACTTTATAGACCATGTACACACATAAGTTTAGATACACACATACAAACACAATCACCTATAAACACACACACACACACATCAAGTACACACACACACACACACACACACACACACACAAGTGCACACACACACACACACACAGACACACACGCTCCCCACGTCTCAACTTTCCAGTCCAGTCCACTGTATTCGGATTAAAGAATACTCGACAGCCCAGTTCCAGCCGGCCTTCTCAGTTCGAGTTTCGAGTCAGAGTACAGAGACGCACATAACGGCCATTTTTGCAAGGAAGAAGCGAGGCAGATAAACAGAGGGGAAAAAAAGAAGTAGGATCTATCAGTGGCGCCCTCCAACCACCCACACAGACAGAAACGGCAGAGGAGAAAGAAAAGAAGCAGGACCTACCAGTGGCGCCCTCCAACCACCCACACAGACAAAAAACGACAGAGGAGAGAGAAAAGAAGCAGGACCTACCAGTGGCGCCCTCCAACCACCCACGCAGACAGAAACGACAGAGGAGAGAGAAAAGAAGCAGGAC